TTGATTATGAAGAAAGGTCCCTGCCTGAACTGTGGTTCAGGTGCTAGCTGTTTTATGCACCTAAGTGAACTTGTATTGTTTAATCTGGTACCAAGTGGTGAATCAATTGGTCATCAGTTGGCTTGATTCGTCTAGAGCACATAAATGGCTCACTATACAGATCGAAATGGTGCAAGGGAGCTTGGATTCAAAAAAGTTTGACCTGAGGGATACTCACAACATCGACAATAAAATCCTGGGCTTTTGTATGAGTAGAGAGCTTTCATTTTCTCGTTGGTGTGATGAAGATTCAAGGGTCCATTTGGATCAACAATTAAGTAATGCAGATGCTAGCCGAGAGGAAGCCAGAGATTCTGATTTTGAATTGCCTTTTATTGACACAGATCAGCTGCAAATAAGGTATCAGCATAAGGGTATGCATATGAATGGTGTTGGCACCATGGGTGATGATACTGTTTATCTGAATGGTAATGGATCTGAGAAGTATGTTCCTTTAGACATTGAAAATGGGGCTGCAAGGCAAAAAGTTGGTGACTCTACCGTTTCTCTAGCTAGGCATGGATCATTGAGAGGAAGCTCAGCAAATCTTGTTTCTGCTGCAGATATTCTAAAGACATTGTTTTTCATACTTTTATGGTACACTTTCAGCCTCTTTTTGACCCTGTAAGTTCCTTCTGCAAGCAAACGATGTATAAATTCATCTTTTTATTTTTTATTTTCCCTTTCCTGTAGTTTTCTTATGCTGGACTTGTAAACAGGTACAATAAAAGTCTGTTAGGTGACACTATGGGAAAGTTTCCAGCTCCTTTCCTGATGAATACTATCCACTTTGCAATGCAAGCTGTGTTTTCAAACTTTATCACTTGGTTTTGGTCTCATAGATTCCAAACTAGTGTTTCTATGTCTTGGAGGGATTACTTATGGCGAGGTAAATATGTAATTTGGGTATATTTTTTTCTTTTATTTGTTTATTTTTTTGCCTTCTTTCTTCAAGTATAAATATATGTTATCGAAACCTTGGAATAATATTGTCTTAAAATGATGACGAGCACAGTAATTGGAATCGATAACTTGTAGATTTTGAGTGGACGGTAATATTTCCACCAGAATAGAGTTAATAAACTCTAGCCGAATAACTTTGTATTGGGCATTGACTGGGTCTTTGACAGAGAAGAGAAAGATGCTGTGTTCATCCCCAATATCTTGTTTGATCACTACCAAAGAATTAACTGAAATTGGCACATTAATCCTCAATTATCTTCTATCTACTTCCGGAACTATGGTTGATTGTTGATCTCCATGTCTTTGTACTTTCAAAGCTTTTTGGCTCTCCTAAAGTTATTGTATTTTTATTGAAAAATTGAATTATTATGAATTACAATCCAATGATGTCATTATTACAGCCCTACAAGAGCTTTTTCAGCCATTCTATGCCATTGTGTTTAATCTTATTCTATTGGGAGTGTCCTATTTTAAACAGAATTTTGGTGAAGTTTCTTTTCTTTTTTTAAAAATACTGACAAGTATTTTCTACAACAATATCTCTTTTTGCTCATCTTTCCTAATATCCCCATAATTTACATCACATCCTAATCTTATTGCTTTGTGCAGCGTGCGTGTGCGTGGGTGTGTGTGTGTGTGACTGTGTGTTACATGCACGCGCACACACACATGAATGGATTCTTGTAATGTTTTATCTTTCAGATTATCATCCTCTTCATGGAATGCACACATATGCTTTTGACATGAAATGGTCGGAGAATATTTGTTATGGAAAATTGTATAACTTTTTTTTTTTAATAAAAAAATTTCCCCTTCTCACGTGTCAGTACTTTTATTGTAAATTTATAACCACTTACTTTATTGACTTTTCTATCAACTAATGCCACAGATGGAATTTGCCTTTCACAGTTGTACCAACTGCTCTAGGGACAGCATTGGATATTAACTTGAGCAATGCTTCTCTTGTTTTCATCTCTGTCACTTTTGCTACAATGGTTAGTGACGTTTCTCTTCTTGTTGTTCATCATGAGGAAAACGTCAAATAATATCTATTTTATTTTGTATTGTTACTGAAGACTGCATTTTCTCTCTTTCTTTCTGTTTTTCTTGCCCTGAGGAAGTAACTATCCTTATTCTCTACATTCACCTCTATTTTATTTTCTTTCTTGCAGTGTAAATCTGCTGCTCCAATTTTTCTCCTTCTATTTGCTTTTGGTTTCAGGTGAGTTTATAGTCTTTTGATCTTTGTAATTGTTCTTTCTGTTTTTGTGACCTTTGAATGCTGGGGATCAAAATTGAATTCTCTAAGATACATTGAGGCAATTAAATTCTATATTATGAATTCTGACCATTCCTAAAATACAACATTGTCTGCAAACTATCAATTATGTAGTACCTAAATGGTTACTGATTCTATACGAAAGGTAGACTTATGTTGTGTGACAGAACTTTTAGTGGCCCCAGAAGACTTCAAATTGTAGAAAGCTTTAGCTTTGAGGAATAGCACTTTCTTGTCATGCTGTGATTATCCAAAACTTTCACCAAGTTCTTAGTTCTAAAGTAAATTTAAACATTTTTCAGTGTTACTGTCAATTAGTTGATCCATTTATGTATGCCCATATGGTTTCCAACTGTGAATTTAAACATTTTTCAGTGTCACTGTCAATTAGTTGATCCATTTTTGTATGCCCATATGGTTCCCAGTTGTGAAGTTCTATGAAAAATTGATTTTTATTCAGGGCTTCAAGTTCTAAATTGTTTATCTGAAAGAAAATAAAATCCTAGAATCATGTGACGGTGGATGGGAATGATGCTTTGTAGTTTAATTCATTTAATGTGAATCCATCTAAAGTCGAATGGAGGCATAGGTTTCTTAAACTGTCTAGGATTACCGATTGAGTTTTGATAGGTGATGTAAGATGTTTAGTGCCTAATATTCACAAGCCACATCCTGTGGCTACTGTTGTCTACCACAGTGCTCCCAGTCCAAGCAATTTTACTTCAGGAGAAAAATCAATGTTTATGCTGATACCACAGAAATTAGACTGGTCTCCTTTCATCTTTTGTTACATGTATGAAAATGAACACTTCATATTATATTGTGCTTTCCATGAAAAGCATTTTTTTGGGTTGAGTTTCTAAAACTTGTCTTGCGTGTCTGTTTGTAGATACATGCATTTTCAGCACTAATACCTGTTTACTGTCATTTAATTGCAAATTTTGATTGGAAGGTTGGAGACTCCAAGCTTTAAACTGTCAGGCATCATCTTAGTTATCTCCATTGGTATATTACTAACAGGTATATATGGCAGCTCTAGCTTTCATGCCTTTTAATTTGGATTTTGATTTGCATTGATTGTTACAAAAAAAGCAGAATATCAATGTAATTCTCATTACTGGACAAACAATGAAACACCCTTGAAAATGTGTGCATCTTGGTCAAACCAAATGCACCATAACACTGCTAAGGGTGTACATTGCCTGTGTTTTGCCTCTACTTAATTTACCAAACTCTTTATAACTTGTCAAAGGAAATCGTTCCACGGTCGGAGTGTTTTTGGTCATTCTCAAATTGGTTCTAAGTGTTGGTTTTATGCAGTGAATACCTGGTCAAGTGGTCAAGTATGGACAGTTAACTATTTGACCTTCATATGAGGAATGCTTCTTTTTTATTCCATTATAAAAGTTATTACTTTATAGGGTTAATACCATTGTTAGTCCTTATAGTTTGATTGAATTTTGGTTTTGGTCCCTATAGTTTCAAATTGTTGGCTTTGGTCCCTATAGTTTTATAATTTTTCAGTTTGAGTTTAACGAATGGTTCTTATTACTTTAACACGATTTGGTTTTGGTTCCTATACTTAAATTTAGATTAAGCCCTTATGAAACTATAGGGATCAAAACTAACGATTTGAAACTACAGCAATTAAAACCAAAATTGGATCAAGCTGTAAGGACCAACAATGATATTTTATACATCTGCACAATGTTTTTTTCTTTTTTCCTTTTTCCTTTCTTTAGTGGCTAAGTAAATTTTTTAAGCCTTAGAAACTTCTGCACGCTGAGAAATTTGTATGTCCATCTGAAATACAATTCCCTTGAAATGCAGTTGCAAAAGAGACAGAATTTGAATTTTGGGGATTTGTACTTGTTATGCTTGCTGCTGTTATGTCTGGGTTCCGTTGGTGCATGACTCAGATCCTTCTGCAGGTTCATATTTTGTTTCTGATTTCTTTTTTAATATCTATTTTCATGTTTTGTGCACTCATTTTTTCTGCCCTTAACAATTATTCTTACTCCATTTTGCTGGGCTGACTTGGTCTTTGTTCTCTTCATGTAATTTGACACCAAACCAATGCTAAAGAAAGAAGCCTATGGTAAGTGTCTTGAATAGCTCTGCAGTAATTTTTTTAAGGAAAATAGTTTTGGAGATTTATGTGATATTTTGATGAGAAGCGAGTAGTCTCACTTAATCATGATTATTTTTAACTCATTCAATGATATATTTTTGGTATTTTCAGAGACTTGACGTGAATATGTGCCAGTTCAAGTTCTCATTTTTTATGAAATTAATTCATAGAGATAGGAAGTACGTAACAATAGGAAGTACATAGCAAGAGTGAAAATCTGTCCTTTTGTGTAATTTGCATAGCAGCGCCAGTAGATGCCCTTTATTTCAAATCCCCAAGGAACCGGCGAAGCAAAATCCCTCTTGTACCATAACGGATGTGAGGGAGAAATCATAGGCTCAAAAAGGTTATGCAACTATGCTCCACTGAGTCACATCACATGCAAAGGAGGAAAAAAAAAATGACGACAATCCCAAAGCACCTTGCTGGACTATTGTAGGTGGGCACATAGGTTCAATGCTTTCTAAACTAGCTACAAGACCCTGTCTGCTGTCTTTGGAAACAACGATTTTTTTGTCCCATAACTAGATGATGATGTAAAATTGAGGAAACAGAATTTGACAGAGATATACCTTAGTATTTGTTAGGATTACAATTTTTGAAAACTAATGACCGTTATATCTCTTTGTGAAATTGTGGAACCATATGTTGGTCCCGTTTATTAGTTACTCTTTGATTAACTTATTTAAATGCTCCCTCTGCTAAATTGAATTAAATTTTGGTATTCTTAGAAATATTGTTATTCTTGAAAGTCTTCTCTTAAATTAGAAATATTGTTTTGGAAGATTGGCATCACTGACAAATCTTGGACATCTTAAACCATCCATGTAAGCAGAAAGAATGGTCATTCTGATTTTATTATTTTCTTAATTTTCTTAGAAGATGATGTGGGACCTTTGCATGCCTTCATTACCATTTGAGAGATCACTGCCCCATAGAAACCGTGTACCTAAAGACAACCCTTTAAGTCGTAGGTCTTAGCACAAGGTTAGAGTTCTAGCTTTTCTAAAGCAGTATCTCACTGATGGCTTAAGCCTTTTCAAGAGGAGGCCTTTTTTGCCTGTTGTGCTGGAAAGGCCTAAAGCCAATCCTAGGTAACAGTAAAGCTTCATAGGGTCTTTTTGTTCAGGTGCAGTTGGTTTGCATCTTCATTGCCATGTCTGTTTTACGGATCCTGCCTTTAAGACAGTGACCAAACTGTTGCGAATTTCACGTAGGTTGGAACTTACTTGACAAAGAGTTATTGCTACCTTTGGTCCGTTAAAGTTACAGCTCCCATTCATTGACGCTTCAGTTGCTGAATATAGATCGTCATCCCATGCAAATAATAACCGAGCAAATTCCTATAATTACAACATGGGTAAAAAATAATATTTGATATTATGGATGGTATTCCTGTCAAGAGAGGTTGTTGAATTAGCCAGAAGTTTTGTTGAGACTAAATTCTCTTTAAAGGTCTTTCTTCATGGACTAGATCCAGGCAGACTGCTAGATTCTTACTTTTAAACCAACGTTTAACCATTCATCATACTTTATGCTCTAGAACATGGCTTACCATGCACTGACCTTAGGCATGTGTGAGCTTATCTCTGGCTTCTGGCCTTGACCGAAAATTTGATGACCATGTTTTAGTTTTTTTCTATTTTCGTCTTCTTTGAATACTATTTCTTTAAAAGGTCTGTACCTTTGTAATGAAATGCTGATAATTTTTCTCAAATAATTTCAGGGATAAAAAATCCGCTTACCTTGATGAGCTATGTAACCCCAGTAATGGCAGGGGCAACTGCTCTTCTCTCTCTTGCATTGGATCCATGGGGGGAATTCAGGCAAAATGAATATTTTAATAGTCCATGGCATATTACTCAGAGTTGTTTACTGATGCTTTTAGGTGGCGCACTTGCTTTTCTTATGGTAAGAGTAAATGTTCCCTTTTTAGGACATGACGTTACAATATTTGTTGTTGGACTTTCTGCTTTCAATTTTTTCCTACTGTCAAATCAGTTTTCAAAGGTGGATCCCCTTTATGCAGGTATTAACAGAGTATGTTCTTGTCTCAGTAACTAGTGCGGTCACAGTTACAATAGCTGGGGTTGTAAAGGAGGCTGTCACCATATTGGTATCATTTTTTATCTTTTCTATGCCAATTTGTTGACGTGAACATCCACTGGCTACCACCCTTTATTGTGGTCTGTCTCATATTTCTAAAGAACCTAGCTAAGTTGTCACTTTTGTGCTGATGTCATTCATAACTCGCTTAAGAAGGCTTCCAAATTACTTGACACAGATTGTGCATTATAATTTGATTAGTTTTTAGGCTGTTGTATTCAGCTTTCTATAATATTGAGTTGATGGTATTTCTGCATATGCTGATTTGGTGGTGTGGTAGAGTTTAACAGGTTTTCCTGTAAGACTATGCCCTCACGATCTGCATCGAAAATTTTAATAATTGTATTTAGTAATTAGTTATTAGTAAATTTGATGAGGATGGGAGAAACAAATGTTTCATGCTTGTGTTTTTCTACTCATTCAAGTGCTTTATATACAGAATTAAATTTATTTATTTTTTAATTTGTTAAAGTTTGTCATGTATGTTTAATTTTCATGTTTGTGCAGGTTGCTGTCCTGTACTTTCATGATCAATTTACTTGGTTGAAAGGACTTGGTCTCTTCACTATCATTGTTGGTGTTAGTTTATTCAATTGGTACAAGTAAGTCATAAGCTAATGCACTTCTCCACAATTTATTTTGGTATTTGGTCATACTTTTCTTCCCTCTTAATTTAATTTAGAGCTTTGAACTTCAAGGATGGTGATGGTCATGCTCTCTTTATTTTGAATGGCAGATACTGGAAGCTTCAGAAGGGTGAAGCAGGTGAAGAGCATGTGGGTGGGACCTTCAAAACAGATTCGGCTACAAAGTATGTTATCCTTGATGAGATGGATGAGCAAGAAGAGAGTTCCTGATTTATGAAGTCATTGTTAAAAACCATCGTTCAAAAGTAAGTCACTTCATGATTTATTGATGTTGATGACTGGAATCGTAATTTCTTTGGCCAAGGCTGGAATCATCACAGACGCTTCAAAAAATTTTCTGCTTTTTTTCCTATAAATTGACAACCTTGTGTCTTGCATGATTATGATACGTATAGAAAAAGATGGATTGATTCTTGAAAGAAGCTTTAGAGTTGCTTGATATACTCTGATCTTCATCCCATCACATTATAATATCCAATCCCAAATAAAAGAATGTTCTTTTCTGATGATAGCTTGGTTATCTGATGGAAGAACGTTGCTTTCAGTACTGAAATATGCTTAATACTAACACTCTTTTTTTCTATAGCAGTCCCTTGTGTATATTTTGAAGCTGATTGGGTGGAGAGAAGAGAGAACCAATTTCCCACATATAATAAACAATATTTTGTCTTTTATTTTGCTTCATTCATTTGACATTCTCTCTGAGATAATTCCATAGAGGCTGTTGTATATTACAGAACAATAACTTGCTATTGTGTTATAATCTTGAAATTTTGGTTGGACTGTGCATAAGTTATTTTAAATGCCGGATGAATACTTACAGATTCTTATTGGGTATCGATTTTTTAATTATGTCTGATCTAATTATGAGTTCTATGAAAATTTAGTTATAATATAAAATAATAGTTTATTGTTCTTTTTATTGTAAATATATTCTTTCTGATACTACTTTTATTAAGGGATGCGATCTTTTGGATGATTGTCGTAAAATGATGCATTTCTAATGATATAATTTATACACAATTATCTGTAATGGAGGTTTTTTTTTTCCTCAAGCAAATTTTTCTTTTTCCAATTGTTCTCCTAATGAATGTGAATATGTTTTGTACTCTTTTGGTTCTATTTATAAGGTGGAGAGAGAAGGTTTTTTTTAGTCCTATTTATAAGTCACTTTATTAAATTTTTACTATGAAGGTACCATATTGTCCTTCATTTATTATATTGTAGTTAGCTTTTTTTTTTTAGTGGAGAGAGAAGGTTTTTTTTAGTCCTATTTATAAGTCACTTTATTAAATTTTTACTATGAAGGTACCATATTGTCCTTCATTTATTATATTGTAGTTAGCTATTTTTTTTAAAAGGAGTATATATTAAATAGGGGTAAAGTTGGAAACTTGTTATATTTTAATGAAGAGTTAATACAATTTAAGGTTTTTCTTGGTCTGTGTGAAACATGTTAGAAGTGTTTTATAAATAAGACCAGAGGAGTATTTCTTTGTAAATAGTAATTATAAATTATATTGCGATGATGAAGTAAAGGACAATAGAAGAAATCATTTATTAATGCAGCACGTAAAAAAGTGAAATTGTATGCAAATGTTACAGATGAAGTAAGAAGTCCACGCAGCCACGCAATTATTATATTTTGTGTATAACCTTCAGTATGATTACATAATTCCAACACATCTCAAGTCAAACACAATTTGAAAATAAAGATATATCTACTTTCTTGTTTCTTTAATTTTAACTCACTGACACAATCTCACACAGCATTTAGTAAAACACAATTGCATATTAATTCTCTGATTCAGTCTCTGATTCAGTCTCCGATTCAGTCTCTGATTCTGAAAAAGAAAACAGTTAATTAAAAGCTTAAATGTTACATCAAAATGGCACACAGACAAAAATAAAAACTAACAGCCTAATTTATCCCACGCATTTGTTAAATTTGTCGTTAAATATCTATGTTTATAAAGATGCTAATAATGTGATAAAAATGTGTAGATGGTGAACATTGATTAGGTTGGTTTACGTACTTATTGAACTCTAATATTACTGCAACATGTCATTCATTTAATACAATATTTTTATAAAATGACAATCATATATATAGAAATCAGCATCTTAAGGAGAATAAAAGATTCAAATTTAAATTTCTCATAAAGTAGCCCAAAAAAAAAAATCTTTTCTTGGGGGCCGGGGAGGGGTTAAACAAGTGATTTTAAATAGAATCAATGACATACAAAATTATATGTTTGATATATAAGATGACCACATGGGAATGAAGTGCTGTATGGGACGGGGTGATATGAATAGTTTTATAATTTTTCAGTTTGAGTTTAATGAATGGTTTCCATACTTTTAACATGATTTGGTTTCGGTACCTATACTTAAACGCAATTAAGTCCTTATGATACTATGGGGATCAAAGTTTTTATAAAACCGTAGGGATCAAAACTAATGATTTGAAACTAGAGCAATGAAAACCAAAATCGGATCAAACTGTAAGGACCAACAATGATATTTTATACATCTGCACAATGTTTTTTTTCCCCTTTTTCCTTTCTTCAGTTGCTAAATACGTTTTTTAAGCCTTAGGAACTTTTGCACGCTGAGAAATTTGCATGTCCATCTGAAATGCAGTTCCCTTGAAATGCAGTTGTAAAAGAGACAGAATTTGAATTTTGAGGATTCGTACTTGTTATGCTTGGTGCTGTTATGTCTGGGTTTCATTGGTGCATGACTCGGATTCTTCTGTAGGTTCACATTTTGTTTCTGATTTTTTTTTAATATCTATTTTCTTATTTTGCGCACTCATTTTTTCTGCCCTTAACAATTATTCTTACTCCATTTTGCTGACTTGGCCTTTGTTCTCTTCATGCAATTTGACACCAAACCAATGCTAAAGAAAGAAGCCTATGGTAAGTGTCTTGAATAGCTCCGCAGTAATTGTTTTTAAGGAAAATATTTTTGTAGATTTATGCGATATTTTGATGAGAAGTGAGTAGTCTCACTTAATCATGACTATTTTAACTCATTCAATGATATATTTTGGTATTTTCAGAGACTTGACATGAATATGCGCCAGTTCAAGTTCTCATTTTTTATGAAATCAATTCATAGAGATATGAGGTAACAATATGAAGTACATAGCAAAAGTGAACTTTTATAGTTACAGCCCCCATTCATTGAGGCTTCCGTTGCTGAATATAGATTGTCATCCCATGCAAATAATAACTGAGAAAATTCCTATAATTACAACATGGGCTAAAAATAATATTTGATATTATGGATGGTATTCCTGTTAAGAGAGGTTGTTGAATAAGTCAGAAGTTTTGTTGAGACTAAAGTTTCTTTAATGGTCTTTCTCCATGGACTTGATCCAGGCAGACTGCTAGATTCTTACTTTTAAAGCAACGTTTAACCATTCATCATACTTTATGCTCTAGAACATCACTTACCGTTCACTGACCTTAGGCATGTGTGAGCTTATCTCTGGCTTCTGACCTGTTTTAATGTTTTTTTTCTATTTTCATCTTCTTTGAATACTCTTTCTTTGTTCCAGTTTTTCCTTTAACGTTGTTCACTTTCCATTGAGAGATTAAAAAGATCTATCCTTTTTAATGAAATGCTGATAATTTTTCCGAAATAATTTCAGGGATAAAAAATCCGCTTACCTTGATGAGCTTTGTAACTCCAGTAATGGCAGGGGCAACTACTCTTCTCTCTCTTGCATCGGATCCATGGGGGAAATTCAGGCAAAACGAATATTTTAATAGTCCATGGCACATTACTCAGAGCTGTTTACTAATGCTTTTAGGTGGTGCACTTGCTTTTCTTTTGGTAAGAGTAAATGTTCCCTTTCCTAGGACATGACACTACAATATTTGTTGTTTGACTTTCTGCTTGTTTGATGTCTAAGCTTTCAATTTTTTCCTCCTGTCAAATCAATTTTCAAACGTGGATCTCCTCCGTCACAGTTACAATAGCCAAGGTTGTTAAGGAGGCTGTCACCATATTGGTATCATTTTTTTACCTTTTCTATGCCAATTGGTTGACATGAACATCCAGTGGCTAGCACCCTTTACTTTGGTCTGTCTCATATTTCTAAAGAACCTAGTTAACTCGTCACTTTTGTGCTAATGTCATTCATGACTCATGAAAAAAATTACTTAAGAAGGGTTCCAAATTACTTGACACAGATTGTGCATCATAATTTGATTAGTTTTAGGTTGTTGTATTCAGCTTTCTATGATTATGAGTTGATTGTTTCTGCATTTGCTGATTTGGCGGTGTGGCGTGGTTTAACAGGTTTTTCTATACGACTGCACCCTATCTGCACACAAATGGCTCATGTTGTTATATATTTTTCTACTCATTGAAGTGCTTTATACATTACAAAAAAATAGAAAATTAGCGACGGAATTTAGTGACGGAATTTTATTCCGTTGCTAAAATTAGCGACGGAATTTAGTGACAAAAAATTTCCGTCGCTAATTTACATAACAATAACTTGCTATTGTGTTATAATCTTGAAATTTTGATTGGACTGTGCACAAGTTATTTTAAATGCCGGATAAATATTTACAGATTCTTATTGGCTATCTATTTTTTAATTATGTCTGGTCTAATTATGAGTTCTACGAAAATCTAGTTATAACATAAAATAATAGTTTATTGTTTTTTTTATTGTTAATATATTCTTTCTGATGCTACTTTTATTAAGGGATGCGATCTTTTGGATGATTGCCATTAAAATGATGCATTTCTAATGATATAATTTATACACAATTATTTGTAATGGAGGTTTTTTTTTTTCTCAAGCAAATTTTTCTTTTTCCAATTGTTCTCCTAATAAACGTGAATATGCTTAGTATTTCTTTGTAAATTATATTGCGATGATGAAGTAAAGGACAATGGAAGAAATCATCAATTAATGCAGCACGTAAAAAAGTGAAATTCTATGCAAATGTTACAGATGAAATAAGAAGTCCACGCAGCCACGCAATTATTATATTTTGTGTATAACCTTCAGTATGATTACATAATTCCAACACATCTCAAGTGAAACACAATTTCAAAATAAAGATATATCTAATTTCTTATTTCTTTAATTTCAACACCCTGACACAAATTCAACACACTCTCACACAGCATTTAGTAAAACACAAATGCAGATAAAGAAACCATTAGAAAACCAAAGCTCCTCATCACCCTTTTAGTTTTAATTTTCTGATTCAGTCTCTGATTCTGATTCAGTCTCCGATTCAGATTCAGTCTCCGATTCAGTCTCTGATTCTGAAAAAGAAAACAGTTAATTAAAAGCTTAAATGTTACTTCAAAATGGCACACAGAAAAAAATAAAAACTAACAGCCTAATTTATCCCACGCATTTGTTAAATTTGTCGTTAAATATCTATGTTGATAAAGATGCTAATAATGTGATAAAAATGTGTAGATGGTAAACATTGATTAGGTTGGTTCACGTACTTATTGAACTCTAATATTACTGCAACATGTCATTCATTTAATACAATATTTTTATAAAATGACAATCATATATATAGAAATCAGCATCTTAAGGAGAATAAAAGATTCAAATTTAAATTTCTCATAAAGTAGCCCAAAAAAAAAATCTTTTCTTGGGGGCCGGGGAGGGGTTAAACAAGTGATTTTAAATAGAATCAATGACATACAAAATTATATGTTTGATATATAAGATGACCACATGGGAATGAAGTGCTGTATGGGACGGGGTGATATGAATAGTAAGTGCACAAAACTATTTCATTCATTAAAAAAAAAAAAAATAGAAAAAGCATCAAAAGAGAGAGCTTGAAAGGAAGAGTGTATCCATGTGGAAATAAAAAGTGCAGGTAGGGAAGTACCTGATGGGGAATTGTATTCGAATCGTGGGGTTATATTTGGACAAAGCTGCATATGCACAGTACCAGATGGGAAGTCGAACTCATAACCTTCATATATCTCTCTCAACTTTGGCAAATTAATGAGACTCAATTTCTTCAATTTGGGGAACAGGTTTTCATGATCACCAACTTCACCTTCACATCCCTTAACAACTCCTTCAAGTTCAGAGCAATCCTCTATGCGTATTCTCTTTAGTGAAGGACAATGAGAAGCCAGACAATATGATGAGAACACCCATTTCACTTTGTTGCATGCAGTTATCTTAATTTTCTCAAGTTTAGGGAAGCAAACATTAGAAGAAGAAAAGTGCTCGAGTGATTCATCGCAGAATATTCCCTCCCATTCCTCGCAATCAGAAACTTCAAGTGAACACAACTTTGGAAGGCTTGTAACAATAGCAAGAGTGAAAATATTTCTCAACTTTGGGCAACTCTTCAATGTAACATCTTTAAGTTTATGGAGGCTCAAACTTTGTGTGGGGCCCTTCCAAAAATATTCCAACACTTCCATATCTATTAAATATGCAGAGCACAATTCTGAATTCACTAACCTTGCTCTCTCATTCTCGTTTTTCTGTAAATTAATTATATTCAATGGTTACATGACAATTTGAAAGATGGACAATATCTATGAACCACATCAAATAGAACTATAAATTAACATTACGAATTAAATCCCTTTTTTCGCATAATTTTAATGTTGTAATAACATAAAAATTATTTGGCAACGTGAAAGAAATTATTTCGGTAAAAATTTTAAAATAAAAGAACAAAAGGAGTTAACGTTTTATCAGAAAAAAATTCATTAATAAAAAATAAAAAATACAGATTAAAAATAATAGTAGCATTTTATCGTTCATGTTTATTATTTATTATGAGAAAAGCAACAAGTTGAGCTAAAAATAATATTTGATTGTTTGCAGAAAATACTTACGTGTTGCGGACACTCCAATAATTCACCTCCAAATATCTCTCTCAATTTCGGCAATTTCCATAGAAGTAATTCCTTCAGTTTGAGAAGAGGTAGCCGCCAATCCCCCTCATGTGCTGCTTCTTCATCAACAACCCTTTCCAGTTCAGAGCAATGACCTATGCCCAGCTGCTTTAGTGAAGGACAATGATGAGAAGCCATAGAATATGAGAACACCCTTTTCATTTTATTGCTTCCCAATATCACAATTTGCTTAAGTTTGGGGAAGCAAACATTAGAAGAAGAAGAAAGATTTTCAAGTGATTCTTCACAAAATATTCCCTCCAATTCCTCACAAGAATCTACTGCTAATGTCTTCAATTCTGGAAGGCTTGTGACAATTGTAAGAGTGAAAATATTCCTCAACTTTGGGCATCTCAAGAATTCAACACTTTCAAGTCTATGGAGGCTCACACTTTTTGTGGGGCCCTTCCAAATGTATTCCAACTCTCCGAGATCTTCTAAAGATATAGAACACAACTCTGAATTTAGGGCCCTTGCTCCCTTATTCTCTTTTTTCTGTAAAGTAATTATATCCAATGATTACATGACAATCCGAAAGATGGACAATATACATGAACCATATCAAATCAAACTGTAAATTAACATTACGAATGGAACCCCTTTTTTCTGTATATTTTTAATGTTGTAATAACGTAATCCCAATAAGATAAATTTTACTAATTTAGGCCTTCATATATTATCCACACTGATTTGTTACAAATAAAACAGTACTGAATAATTACTTTCCATTTCCACAACAATCAGCTGGAGCGAAAACATTAATTAAAACAAAAATTGAAATAATTATTGCCCAAAATTTGATAGTAAAAACACGATTTTTTTCAAATCAACTAAAATTTTTAACAAGACAAAGAGGGAGAATTAACAAAAGGGGAAAAAAAAATCTCTTTAAAATATCTAAACGGCAAATTTGACAAAGCAAACATGCCAATTTTTACGACACTGTTCACAATATAAACCCAATCAATTTCGCATGTTTGACAAAGTGGTGCATTTAGCAAAGTTAAAGAAATTATTTCACAATTTTTTTTAAAAAAAAAGAAAAGAAGTTAACGTTTTACCAAAATTCATCAAGAAAAAATGACAAATTAAACCGCATTTTTCACATAATTTTAATGTTGTAATAACATAAGTTTTATTACTTTAGACCTTCATATATTATCCACACTGATTTGTTCCAAATGAAACAGTCTTGGATAATTACTTTCCATTTCCACAATAATGAGCTGGCGCCAAAACATTAACCAAAAATTGAAATAACTAGTTCCTGTTATTATATTCAAGATATATTCTTAAAACTAATACTCCTCCGGTCCTTAATATAGGACTCAATTCTTGAGTTGGTTTTGGTCCTAAATATAAGACCCATTTCTTATATTTTTAAATTTTCTCTAAATTACCCCTATGGATACTCCCTCAACCATAATCAAGTAGAAGAAGGAGAGGGGGTATTAAGAAAGATGATTATGGTGTTTTAGAAAAAATGTGTTATTTTTCTTATAATTAACTAATTTACCTAACTTCCTTAATATAATCAAATTAGTTAAATGGGTCTTATATTAAGGACCGGAGGAGTATATATATATATATATCTATATTCTTTGATAGTAAACACGATTTTTTCAAATAAATTTAAAAATAAACATGCCAATTTTTAACAGGAAAAGAGGTAGACTCAACAAAAAAAAATTATTTGGCAATGTGAAAGAAATTATTTTGACAAAAATTTTAACAGCAAAAGAACAAAAGGAGTTACCTACGTTTTATCGGGGAAAAAAAAGTTCACCAACAAAAAAAATAACAAATACAGATTAAAAATAAATAGCGTGTTATCATTCCTGTTATTATTTATTATGAGAAAAGCAACAAGTTGAGCTAAAAATAATATTTGATTATTTGTGGAAAATACTTACGTGTTGCGGACACTCCAATAATGCTCCTCCAAATATCTCTCTCAACTTCGGCACCCCTTGTAGATCTAATTCCTTCAGTTTGAGAAGAGGTAGCCGCCAATCCCCATCATGTGCTGCTTCTTCATCAACAACTCTTTCCAGTTCAGAGCAATCCTTTATCTGCAGCCTCTCTAGTGAAGGACAATGACGATAAGCCATAGAATATAAGAACACCCTTTTCATTTTACTGCTTCCCCATATCTCAATACTCTCAAGTTTGGGAAAGCAAACATTAGAAGAAGAAGAAAGATTTTCAAGTGATTCTTCACAAAATATTCCCTCCCATTTCTCACAAGAACCTACTTCTAATCTCTTCAACTCTGGAAGGCTTGTGACAATTGCAAGAGTGAAAATATTCCTCAACTTTGAGCATTCCCGCAATACAATACTTTCAAGTCTATAGAGGCTCACACTTTGTATGGGGCCCTTCCAAATGTATTCCAACTGTTTTAGATTATATAAATATAAAGAACGCAGCTCTGAATTCAATGTCAAAGGTTCGTCTCTTGCCTCAATAGATTCTGTTCCTGTGACTTGCAGAACCTCAAACACAGTAACTTTCATTCCACTGTTGATAATACGTACATGTTTCAGACTAATAAGAAAAGGGGTCCAGAGTTTCTGATTTCGTGAATGGTGGGAGCTTTCTGCAGTAGTGACCGTAGTCTGATTCCCCTGTGGCTGTACGTACATACATATATGTATTCAAATTATAATTATGAAATGCACACATTAATTACAATAACTTGTCTCTTACTCTCATCGTGTGAGTCAGAATTATTTTCTTAACAAAAATAGGAAATTAAAAATATAAAGCGTTGCTCAAAATATGAAATTAATTATTTGGAAAATATATAGCCTTTCATTTGGCAAATTAAAAGTAATCATTTGATAAAAAAAGTTTAATATGAAGGATACAAATCGATAAAAACAAATAGCATTTTCTTGTCTTGAAATAAAAAGTAAAACTCAAATAGTAGCTCAATCACACACACGTACGCACATATAAAAACACTACGTATGACGTTGCTACCGAGCTTTCAAATTTCAGAAATAAAAAATACAGTTATATATTTGCAAAAACTTGAATTAAAGAAAATGACTATTGCCTCTCATTCAGAATACGTTGGAGTACTTTTTTAATGTTACGTGTATTATTTGCTTATAAACATGATTTTTTAAAACAAAGTTTAAAAGTAAACAGGCCAATTTTTAATTTAAAAAAGCCAGGTAGAATGCAGCAAAGCAAAAACGAAATGTCCTAAAAATATGTGAAACTCTTGGCAATTGCATGAATTTACACTAGCCTCTAAAAACTAGTTTCCGCAATATATAGATGGTGTTAGAAATTGTAATACACATAATTATTTATTTGACCAGAGAGGTAAAACTAACAAATAGAGTGATAAAGTGGGCACATTAATTTCGCATGATAATTTAAGAAAAGGATATAAAATTCAGCACCAAAAGAAAAGAAACAAATTCAGCTTGCTACCTTTTTTCAGCGAACGCATCAGCATGGATTATAATTTCAAATGTGCAATGATTCAAGACGAATTTTGCGGATATAACACTTACGTATGGGTAGTCTTGAAGGGGCTCCCTTTGATGCAGTAGACGATCACCATGCGCATCTTCTTCATCAGTGAGCCTCTCAAGTTTAGGACAATCCTTTATTAGCAATTCCTCTAGCGAAGGACACTGAGAAGCTAGAGAATAAGAGAATAGCCATTTCAATTTGTCGCAATCCTCAATCTCAAGTTTCCTCAACTTCGGTAGGCTTGTAACAGTGGCATGGGTGAAGATGCAGGTTCCCAATTCTGGACAGCTCTCTAGAAACAGCTCTTGTAACATCGGGAGAGAACATGTGATCGATGAATCTTGGAACACTTGTTCAAGACTATCCATTTTTATCAATCTTAAACTAATCAGGTGGGAGAACACTTGTCCTGTTTGAAGAATGTTGGCGCTCATGTTATCAGCTATGAATATCTTCTCCAGACAGCGTGAAATTGCTAAGTGCTTTATTTCAAAATTTATATCATTAAGATCCCACCTACAATTGTCTAACCAAACACAGTTTGCTCCAAGAATGAGATCTTTCATTGACGAATTCGAAACAGAGGCTTTGAAGCCTTGTATGCATAAAGCTCTCAGTTCTTCAATGCAATGAGCATCAAAATATTCTACAAAAGGAGGATCTTCATAACTAGAAATATTCAATGATGTGGTGTCATAGATAACGTACCTCTTCAACCTCGAAAGAGAGAAATTTTCTGATATGGCAGATTTCTTTTCCCAAAAGTATAATTCCTCAAGTTGCTCACATTTTCCAATAATTCCAAGAGGACTTTTTTCAATTTCACACCCAAACACATCCAGCAGCTTCAATTTTTTCATACCTACAATTCCAATAGGTAATTCACCAAATTGAGAACCACGCAAGTCAAGAATCTCTAATCCTTTGAGTTGACCTAGAAAAGAGATGTCATCCAATGCAATTCCTCTGAAGCATAAGGTATGAAGATTAATTAATGATGACACAATTGATTGCGGCATTGACCATTGAATTTGTGTACGCCAACCAAGTCCTTTCCATTGAAAGCTAGATCTTGCAAGGACCAAGATTTTGAGCGCTTCAATCCCTCCAAGATCTTCAATGAACCCTTTGGGATGAAGTAGCAGAACCTCAAGTGTTGGACAATGCAATTGATTAGACTGCCAAAAATTGCCTTCCAGATTCCATAATGATATTACCTTTGTCTCTTTCAAACTTTCATTTTCAGCCAACATTTTGAAACCGCATTGCTATCCACCAAAATTGCTTGATGTTGCTCCCTCGCAATCCACAAAGCTACATCCCGAACTAAGTCATGCATTTTTACACATGCTTGCTCATTTGTATGCATTAATAAACAAGAATCTAATAGCCTGTCAATGGTTACTAAAATCTCCCTCCTTGCATCCTCCATCGTGTAAACAATCCCCTCAACTTCCAAAGTCCGTTTGGCAAATCGAACAAGATCCTCTCTATGAATTTGATGATCCTCAGGAAACATAGAGCACAATAGGAAGAGGTGCTTTGCTAGACTTGGCAAATAATCATAACTCAATTTGAGACATGCATAAGGGCCCCTTAAACTCTCATCAATATCCAATGGTAGGGATTGTTGTAGCCTCCGTAGTGTTAACTTCCAGTCCCGAATACCTTTTCCTCTTAATGCCTTTCCCACTGTCACAATTGCAATAGGTAGTCCCTTGCACTCATCAACAATTTTCTTTCCCACACCAACAAACTCATTCAATGTGTCATGGGTTAAGTTTGCATGCATCTTTAACAAATCCCATGCTTCCTCCTCTATCAAGAGAGACAATTCAAAATTTTCCTCACAACCCATAAAGACACAAACATCTCGAAGACGAGTAGTTAACAAAACACAACAATTTTCATTAATCGGAATACCAATTTCTTGAAAGTTTAGATCATTACTCCACACATCATCCAAGATTATAAGAATTTTCATACTTCTCAATCTTTCTGATAGCCTTTGTGCTCTTACAGATTGAGTGGCCACATCAAATTTCAAATCAATTTGGTCTGCTATTTCTTGCTGAATTTTTACTTCATTTGGAGGTTTCGAAACAACCACCATGATGAACTTGTCAAAAAGCTTCAAATCATGCATTGTCTTGCCTACTTCTTTTGCCAAAGTGGTTTTACCTGAACCGCCAATACCATAGAGTCCAATCATCTTGTTCTTGCCATCTTTAACTGCCTCCAAAAGATGATTATAAGTCGATTTTCTGGAGTTGAAATCCACAAACTCTTTGGAAGGGAAGTAGGTAATGTCAGGAAGTGGGATCGACTGGGAAAATGGATCAAAGTGGGAATTGCTCTTGAGTTCCTTCATTTGCTCAGCCACATCATCCATTTGTTTTGCTAAGGAATACTTGAGTGACATGTTAAAACATTTCTTTCCTTCTCGTTCAACCTCCTGTTGCAGCTTTTGCACCTCCTCTAGGATAGCATTCACATCATCCAACCACTTCCTCACAGATGGCATTATTTCTTCAATTTTTCGATCAGCTTCTTCCTTGCGCTTGTTCAAGTCTGCTAATGTCACCTCCAGCCCTTCTTTTGCTTTCTCAAAACCTCCATTGAATTGGTTGAAGCAAAACAAATAACGAGCGCGACGTGAAATTGGATCCCATAGACACTCTGCAAGCTTGGTCGCTATACAAGTCCCAATTTCTTCCATCTGACGCAATGCAGGGCAGCCCTATATATGGATACACCAGTTTGTAATAATTCCAAACACAAAATAATGTGACAAGCATAACAGGCACGTACAATATGTATAAGTTTGAGATTGAATGAACAAATAATTCACTTTATAAATATATTTCTGAGATATTGTATTAAAACAGTTTATAAAAATTCACATGACAGTTTAATTAATTAATTAACCTTATAAATAATTTATACGCTATATACCCCTATTATTTAGCTGTAATACATGAGTGATGAAAATTATGGTGATAATCTTTTGAGCAGTAGGAGAATGAAGCAAAGCACGCGAAAACGACTGAATCTAATTTAGTGAATGCCAAAAGGGGAAAAGAATAAGTTAAGATATTGACTTTGTAAATCTGAGAAGTTTACTTGTAAATTAGTAAATTTTTTTTGCCAGCATTAAGATAATAATATCTTAGGAGATTTATTTGAAAATTGATTAACTTTAACTTGTAAATATTAAAATATTTAATAAAAATTAATATTTAAGCATTTATTTGAGGTATTTGAGAGTAATATTTAAGTAAATTCACAAAAATTATGTAAAAATAAATCCTTTATTATTAGAACTTATATATGTAACTACAATTTTTTCCCAAATAATAACAATATTACCTGGTAATCTTGGTAAATGGTAATTACATATTATATCATATAGATATGTCAACAAGGAGAAAACGTGTTCTAAACCAAAATTGAATGCATTTTTTCGTGGCTGCCCAAAGTACATGCATATCTAAAAATCATTACACACACATACACGTATATTCTTGGACACTACCCATTTTTAAATCAGAATTTAAAACTCAACTATTTTAATAACAACACCATTTTATCTATATTCCTTTCCGTTTCTAAATGAAAGTAGTCAATACAATATACTTTTATCTTAATAGAAAAACTAAAGCTTTTAATAATCATATTAATAAATTTTATTGATTTAAATAAAAAATATATGATTACTTATACAAAAAATTAAATCAAGTTAATTTCAGAAAACTATAATAAACGCATCTAACAAATCCATTATTTAATGTACAAATACTAGTTCCTTTGACTGAAAAACAAATACTTTGCATATGCAAAAAGATTAGGCGAGACTTGAGTTTGTAATAAAATTATTCGTTATTTAAGAATCTGAATATTGAGTTCATATGATAATGAAAGAATATAAGAGATGAGACAATACAATAGACATGTAAAGTAGCGAGATGATAATAAAGATAAGGGTATCCTTAGATCATAAAAAAAGTGAAAAAAGAAGTCCTTCATCGAGCTAGATAAAAAAAAAAAAAAAAAAAAATCAGTTAAATGACTTAATCTAATATAACCGTTACTTACCTCAAATGTGATGATGATATTAGACGAATAATGCAGAAACGTCCTCCGGAGTGACTCTCAAATCAAATTAAGAGATTATGCCCCACTACACACAAATAACAAATAACTATTCACCCAATTAGTACAAAACTACGACACACACACACACACACACACTAATTTTCTAAGAATTTAAAGTCTTGGAAATTCATTATTGTATAATTATTGACGACCAAAAAAAAAAGCACATGTACACTCAGAAAATGGTATTTATTGAAACAGTATTCAGGCTGATGGTATTCCCGATTTATTTATTTTTTTTAATGAATATTTCAAATTTCCATATGTTACTATGAATATATATCAGATTTTCATAAGTTACTATGAATATATATATATATATATCAAAAAATAACGGTCCAAATTAAATTTTATTCTATTTTTAAATTTTATTTTGATGTAAAACAAAACTAATCTTTTAATAACTATCAGTTGTTTGTTCAATAACATAAATTCAATATAATGAAAAACATAACTTTAAATAATCTGACTTCTTTCACAAGTATATATTTTCGAAAATAGGCATTCCATCAAATTCAGTATGAAATTTAAATTAATATAAATTCAATGTAAAACACAAAAATACAAAATAGCATCCAACATTTCATTTTTAATTTTCTAATAATATTTTGATTAAAATTAATATTTACCTGTAATATTTTCAATATCTTATTAGCAAGGGAGGCAGCCAGAACATGGTTGAAAATGGATTTTAGGAATTTAAGGAAAGCATAGACGATGCTAACAGTACAAACATTCATCTGGTTCTATCTGTAAGCTGCTTTCGGCATATTTTATTAGAATAAAGAGAAGCCCCAACCTTTATTAAATCTGCCTTAAATTTTAACAATTTTTTTCCTGCCTAGTATATAGTTTCTCCTGTTTAATATGCAGGTTTATCAAGAAAATAACAATATGTCCAGTAATAAATAAAAGATAAAATAATACTCGTCCGATTTTTAATATAAAATCTAATTATTAAATTGATTTTAATATTAAATATAACACTTATTTTTTATATTTATTAATTTTTTTAAATTATTTTTATAAATATTTCTTCAACCATAATAAAAAAAATACTAAGAAAAATAATTATAATATTTTAAAAAAATATATCATATTTTTTATAATTAACTAACTTATCTAATTTTTAAAATTTAATTAAATTAGTTAAATAGATTTTATATATTAATATTATAAATTTAACTTAACGATGTAAAAAATATATAAGACAAAAAACCTTCTTTCTACTTTATGGTCACGGTTAAAAAAAAAAATAATAATAAAACGACTGAATGTCTGGATATATTATTGGAGGACAGAGACACCGCCGCTGCTGGAAGATCTATTGCATCAACCGCAAGATCTATTGTCACCCAAAATTCTTTTTTTTAAAAAAAATCATATTCTGTTATTTACCTGTAATATGAACTTAAGATAAGGTTTTTTCTTTCCTTTTTTTTTTTTTGGAGGCAGAACAAGAACTAATGGGAAGCAGAGAGTTGATCGGCAGAAGTGGGGCGCTGCACACCAGAAGAGGTAGAAGCTTGGGGTATAAGGAGGGGTGTGGAAGTAGCTTCGAATTTGGGGATCAAAAAGGTGATATTGGCAGTTGATGCGAGAGAAGCCGTTAGAAGGTTGAGGGGGAAGAAAAAAGAAGGAATCGTTACCTGTTGTTTATGGAAGGAGATTGCTGACTTAATGGATCTAAGGCGGGAAGTCAGCGTAGAGTGGATTAGGCGAGAAGCGAACGCTGTGGCAGACGCTCTTGCGAAGTTGACTCTGGAAATGGTTCGGTCCTTGCAGATCTGGAAAGAGGAAGCAGAGATCCTGAAGGAACTATGAGAAGAATATAAGAGGAGCAGGGATGGCTGCCGTGTAAATGGGGTGGGAAGGATAGGCCATGAGTAGTGCGTTGGCCTTGGGCCCTCTTTTGTTACTCCAAAAAAATAGCAGAGACTTTTGTTTTTTTTGGTTGCCCAACTGATTTACCGGAGTTTTGTTCCAACTATATTCAGATCCGACTCGGGTCGCGTACCTGACTATAGTAGGTGAGTCTCCCAATCAAAGTTTCTGCATACGTCAAGATTCGAACTCAAGACCTTGCTTAAATGGTATCGAACCATTTACCACTCGGACCAACTCGTATTGATAGCATAGACTTGATGATTACACCTGCTTCTTGACTTGAGCTCTTTAACTATGGAGACACCAATTCTAAAGTTCAAAGTAAGCTATATTTAATTCAAGGCCAAAAAAATTATGCTATATTTGGAATAATTCCAAATTCAGAATAACGTCTCAAGCATGACGCACACGTACAATCTATATAAATTTGAGATTGAATGAACAAATAATTCGCTTTAACTATAAATATATTTCTCACATGTTGTATTAAAAAATTTATAAAAGCTCACATCGCAGTTTAATTAATTAACTAACTTTATAAATAATTTTTATGCTATATACTACTATTATTTATCTGTAATACATAAGTGATGAAAATTATGGCGATAAATTTTCGAGCCGTGGGAGAATGAAGCAAAGCACAAGAAAAGAACTGAATCTAATTTAGTGAATGCCAAAAGGTAAAAAGAATAAGTTAAAATGATGACTTTGTCAATGTGAGAGGTTTACTTGTAAATTAGTAAGTTTTTTTTGCCAAAGTTAAAATATTTATATCTTAGGAGAATTATTTGTAAATTTAAGAGGTTGATTTTTAGATCTCTGAGATTTATTTAAAATTTGATTAAATTTAAGGTAGATTTATTTATTTTTTCCAATTTCAACTTAGAGGAGGATACTCTGAAGCACCTGATAATGCATTCATATTTACATTTTTTTTTTCTTGTCATATTTTGATTTGGTTGGTCCACACTCCACATGCTAGTCACTAATGAGTTATTTTTTTATATTTAAATAATAAATCTTTTGTCACATTGGTAGAGTCATGGGATAACGAATCTTTGCTAGTATTGACCAAATATTAAAATATAATCAACCTAGTGGGTTTCTTTCCTAGCAATAATTTAAGGACGTTTCAAAGAAGAAAGCTGAAACGACCGAAAGTAAACAAAGACTAATCCTGTTAATTTTTGTAATGATTCTTTCGTCACAGTTAGATTATTGTGGTATAGATTATCGTTTTCTTAAGTATATATTTTTTCCGGTCTCAATATAAGATTTAATTAAATAATTTGAGTGAATTAAGGATATTAGTTATATTAGTTAACTTGATACACTTTTTTAAAACACCATAAGTGTCTTTTTTTAATTCCCTCATTTTTTTTACTATTTGATTATTATTGAGGAAATATCAATAAGATTAATTTAAAAAATTAATAAATATACGAAATAATTTTTATATATATGATCAATGTTAATTTTTTAATTAGGTTTTAAATCAAAGATTGGAGGGGGATATTAAATATAGAAACAAAATCACAAAATTGTTAAATTTGAATATGCCAGATTTAATTTTTTAATATTCTGATGAAACATATCACAAGTGACTTGGGAAGGAAAAAAAAACATAAGCGAAATACTCCTTTGGTCCTATTCAATAAATGAAGGGGAAAAGTGACT